AGGCTGGAGTGCAATGGTGCAATCTCGGCTCACCACAACCTCCGCCTCCCAGGTTCAAATGATTCTCCTGCCCCTCAGCCTCCCGAGTAGCTGAGATTACAGGCATGCACCACCACACCCAGCTAATTTTGTATTTTTAGTAGAGATGGGGTTTCTCCATGTTAGTAAGGCTGGTCTCAAACTCCTGACCTCAGGTGATCCACCTGCCTCAGCCTCCCAAAGTGCTGGGATTACAGGCGTGAGCTACCATGCCCAGTGAGCTACTTATATTTTCTATTGCAATGTAAATTGATTCAACTCTGTTAACATGAAATAGTGTCTGTTTTTGTGCCACTGAAAGTCATCCCCAGGTCAGCTTGCAGTACATGATGCTTACCTGGGGAGACAGTGGAGTCATCCCCTCACAGATAGAGACTGAATGCCTCCTGTGTGGGGGGCACCCAAAGGGGTCCTCTACCCCCAGATGCAGGGCCACATCACCTTGTTCCCAAAGTCAGTCCTCTCCTCTCAAGCGCACTTTCCCTCCCAGCCTCTGCCAGGACCTTCCCCACAAGTGGCCATGCCTCCCCTCCCACCTGCAGACATGCAAGCACATTCTGAGGATGTTAAGCCGACCAGATGGGGCAGAGCTCAGCTTTGGGGTCGACTGAGTTTAATCCCAACTGAACCTCGTCCAGCCGGCGACTCTCCGTGGCTCAGTTTGGCCATCTATAAAAGGAGATATGAATAATCCCTGCCTCTCAGGCCTGTCCTGTGACTCTAAGGAGGTAATGAAGGTAAGGAGCAGTGGTGCCGCAGCCTAGATGCTCACAGAGTGCCCAGTAAGCCAAGGCAGCCGGGCGAGTGTGGAAGAAGACGGCCCGTGGCTGGGCATCATCAACAGTCCCCATTCCAGCCGTTGTCTCAAATCAGCTACCTCTTGCCCTGTAGTAAATGCAGAGTGTGATTGTTGTCAAATCCAGTTCTGCTCAAGGTCAAGGTCATCTTTTTGGTTTTTTTTTTTGAGACGGAGTCTCGCTCTGTTGCCCAGGCTGGAGTGCAATGGCGCAATCTCGGCATACTGCAAGCTCCGCCTCCCGGGTTCACACCATTCTGCTACCTCAGCCTCCCGAGTAGCTGGGACTATAGGCCCCCACCACCACGCCCAGCTAATTTTTTTGTATTTTTAGTAGAGACGGGGTTTCACCGTGTTAGCCAAGATGGTCTCGATCTCCTGACCTCATGATCCACCCCTCTCGGCCTCCCAAAGTGCTGGGGTTACAGGTGTGAGCCACCGCGCCCAGCCTTTTT